CTGACCCTCTGCCTCTGGCTGGCGGCCTCCGGGGGCTGCCTGGCGGCCAGCCCCGGCGCGGCGGCTGCACGGCGGCTGGACGAGTCGCTGTCGGCCGGGAGCGTCCAGCGCGCCCGCTGCGCCTCCAGGTGCCTCAGCCTGCAGATCACGCGCATCTCCGCCTTCTTCCAGCACGTCCAGGTACGGGAACCGCCGCCCGCCCGGGGTCCTCCCCGGCGCTGCGGGCAGCCGCGCGGGGCGCACGGCGCGCGCGCCTCCCAGCCTCGGCGCCCAAACTTCTTGCCCAGCTCGACCGGCAGATCCGGCTTTCGCTCGGCGTGGATTTTACCATCGGGGTGCTCTAACCCTCCTTTCCCACCTCCTCCCTGTCCCCGAAAGGAAAAAGAAGCCTGCAGCATCTCTCCCCAACTCCCCTTCTTCCCAGCGGAAAACGAAAGGCGATTTCTTTGGGGAGGGAGAGCAGTTTTGTGGACTCCAAGGGTGGTTGTGTGGATTTGTTAGTTTCCCGGGACTTCTGCGCGCGGGACTCCGGGCTGATGGCGAGTCCCGCAAACTCCCGGGCGCTCTGGGGCCCTCGGCGGCGCCGGCACTGCGAGCGAGGCCGGGAGACGCGCGCGGCTGCGCCCGGGGACCCGCGCGAGGTGCCCAGACCCGCAGGTGCCCGCGGGCCGACACTTTTGTCCCTATTGAGCCTTTCACACTCGGCGAGCCCGGAGCTCGCGGCCCACAATTCGAGTCCTAGGCAGATCACTTGGGTCAAGTCGTGTGTTCTGGAGTGTGTTGGGGCGGGGCCAGGGTGGCTGTGCGCGCCGCAATTCGGAGCCCTAAAGCCTCAAGGTCTTGCCAATGAACAGCGTGGAGAGTAAGGGAAGAGATGCAAGGGATACGGGTCTTAGGCGGTGTTTGGATGCTCCGAGAAGAGTCCCGGGGTCAACATCTGCCCCCAGCCCTTGTAGAGTCTTTCAGCTTGATGGTGAAGCTTGTGTGTGTGTGAGTGTGTGAGCAAGGGTGTGTAGGAGGTTCGGGAAAAAGCACACTTGGCGCCTGTGGAGGGGGTCCACAGAGGCGAGGACCCCTGCGGACTTGCGTAGGGACCCGGGTGGCGGATGGGCGCACGAGAGCCGCTCCGGGACTCGGCGGAGTTCCGTCCGGCAGCTGCCTTTCCCAGCCGGTCCCAGCGCGCGCTCTGAAATCGTTCAAGCAAACGTCTTATTTCTCTCGTCTGCCATCGTTCTCTCCCTCGCCTTCTCGCTTCTATGCCTAGCTGCTCACCTGTTCCAAGATCCCAACTTCTCGCCCCAGAGAAAACTGCGGAGGCCAGAAGGAGACTTGGAGCTCCTTGGCGGGGTTCTAAGCCGAGCCCTCTGCCCTTAAGAAATAAACTGGGCGTCCCTCTCGGCTGGGCGGGGTAAAGTGGGCCTCCCCTCACCAGGGGGTCTTGGGTATCAAGCCGCGAGAGGAGGCGATTGTAATGACCGTGGAGTTGGGGCAAATATCCGTCGCCCTCCGGGTGTTCATCCTGTCGTGAGAGCTAATGAAACCTCGCGCCGAATGGCACAACGAGAAAGAAAAGTTGGGATCTTCAGAGATTGAACCAGCTCGCCAAGTTTGCATGATGTGTGGTTTTGTTTGTTCCCAGTCAAAGAAGCAACATCTAGTGGGTTTCAGAGAAGTTGGCACGCTCTGCGGTCCTCCTAGGTCTTCAGGGAAAGCGAAAACCGAGTACTCGTCTCCTGCGGTGAAATTACGCGGACATGCTGGAGAGGGCTTCTCCCCAGCCACCTCGTTTCCAAACCGCTCTGCCCTGCCTTGCAAGTCGCTCTCCTGAGAAGATGCCACGCTATTGTTTAAACAACAAAAGAAAACAAACCCAAAAGAGCAGCCCATTCCCGGGGAGAAAGAGTATCTTTTCTTTCTTTTTTTTTATTGAATTGTCAGTTGCTGTAATTTATTTGTTTTACAGTTTCGGCGGCTAAAGGAGCAGTTTAGATCAAGCCAATTCCCGTGAAAGGCTTTTCTTGTGGTCTCTTGGCATGATTTCTCTTCCGAAGAAAAACTGCTGACAGAATACACATTGCCAGACAATCCTGATTACATTTTAATTAGCTGGGGTGAAATCAGCTGCAAATTACTCAGTTAGGACTTAGTAACTGCTGCTTTCGCAATCAATTGCAAAGCCATTCTTGGAGGTTTTACTCTAACCTGATAATGCCTGATTTATCTAAATTGTAGGGATTAAGCTTTCTTAAGATTTGAAAAGACAGCAGCACACTCTCCTTATAAAACCTCAAGCTTCCCTATCCCTCCTCCCTTTTAAATAATTGGGAGGAGGTGGAGGAATCTGGCGGCAGGCAACTCATTACACTGCATGTGGTATTTATTAATGGGTAGGGAAGGCGGGGCTAGAGGAAGCTTCTGGAAGAGCTGCTTCTGTCAGGGTCACCCCCCACCCACCCCACCCCACCTACTTGTGCAAATAAGCCCCAGCAGAAGGCTGTTTCTGGAGCAGTTGCCATTTCCAACCTCTCTTGCACAGTTCTAGGCATCTTTGTAAGGCTGGGAGAAGGCTTGTCACCAGCCTGGAGGCCAGCCAACTGTGTGGACTTTCAGGTGTGAAAACTGCCAGGCCTTGGCTAGGAAGAACCCACCCTCTGCACTCATGATGTAGACAGAGACTCGGAGCTGCCAGGGGCAGTGACCTGCAGTAGCAGGCCTGCAGAAGAGGCTGGAATCCAATGGTCTTCACCCCGATTCGGTGCACTTACCAACGCCCCCCAGTCCTGCAGCAACTAGGCTGGAGGGCTGTGAGTAGATGGTGCGCACCTGGTGTCTCCACGTCTGCAGGGCCGGGTCACCTGTCAATCATGCCTGAAAGCACAAGAGACCCAATACTGATGCACGGAGGAGGTGGGAATGGTGACGGGGGAGGTGTGACTTCTCTGGCACAGCTGCTGACCTAGAAGAGCTTAGAATTTCATACTGAAAGGGAGATGGATTCTACACTGCATCACTTCACTGCTGAATGCTGCCCCTCATTCATGAAAACAGGCAGTGCGTGCTGGCACCTCCCGGGGGACCAGTCTCCAGCTCCGTGATGCTGCGTGCAGGGCATTTGGCACATGGCCATTTCAAGTTCACACATATCATATATGCATGTGGTTAAAATCCGGCCAGCGGAGGTAGCTGGGAAGGACACCCTTGTATCAGCAGAATGAAGATGAGCTCTGAGCTGTGGGGGATGGAGCAGGGGAGGGGGCTCTGGAGCAGGGGAGGGGGCTCTGGAGCCAGGCAGGTCTGCTCTGCCTCCAGGCGTTACCATTTAGCAGATGGGGAGCTTGGGTGAATCACCTTCCAGAGCTCCCAGTCTCTCCTGTGTCCAGTGGGAGACCAGTACCTGCCCAGCAGGGTGGAGATCCTAAAACATGTTGGGGATGATGAAACTGATGGTCATAAAGGAACTAACACTAACTGGGAGATTACGAACTAGGAGACACTGTTCTGGGTGTCTTACAAGGCTATCTCGTGTAATCCCCACAAGCATCCTATGGAGAAGGTACTGTCTGTATCCTCCCGTAATTGATAAGGAGACAAGGTGCTGAGGAGGTAGGTTGGTCATACAGCTCATAAATGGTACGGCTGGGTTCCGACCTGGGACAGCTACTGGTTTTTGGGTTTGTTTTTATTTTTAGGATTTCATTGGCTAGTTGGTTAATTTACTTCAGGACTGACTACCTAATTTTCAGGACCCAGCACAAAATGAAAACGTGCAGTCCATTATTCAAAGAGCAAGAAAAAAAGTGTTAAAGGATCTAAAATATAAAATTTTTTCCTTCTGTGTCTTTTCTCTCTTGACTTGCCATGGTGTTTTAAATTTGCTTTTCAATGCTGTTCTCAGTAAAGAAAAATTTAAAAATTAAGTTACTAGTATAGACTGTACTGCTCATCTTTGTATAGTGCAGAGCCAGTGTTACACTCGAATGTCAGAGCATTTCACTTGTATGGGGAATCGCCAGCATTACACAATTTGGATTTCCTGGCTCTCCCCTGGAGGGTGCCTTGAGATGGCTGGAGGGACAAGCAGAGGCCAGACTCAGGAAGGTGGGAAGGAGGAAGAGAGGACGCCCTCACTAAGTGCTCAATGTGGGGTGTGCCCGATGGGCGCCCCCCAAGGGGATTTTGTAGGACACATGTACAGGTGTAGACCTTCACAAGTACCTGGGGTCTGGTGTGCACCCATACTTGCTCAGGCGTAACACATGCCTGGTCTCCTATTCTGCCAGCTGCTGGACCAATGCACTGCACTGTGTTCTAGATGGATCCTCAGGAAGCTGAGCCAGGGGTCTCCCCCTCCTACTGCTCAACCCATAGCAGATGGGCAACTCCTAAGTGTACTGCAACCTCCTCGCTGGATGCAACTGGTACCTGCATCAGGGATGGGCTATAGGCTTGTTCCTGTGGAGTCTTGGGCTCTGGCTGGCCACCACCAAACACAGCATGGTGCTACCAGCATGCGGTTAGGATAGCCACCACTATATTACGGGACCCTTCAGGGCATGCATGCTCAACCCTGACCCTCCTTGCACCCACATCCAGGTCCCTGCGGGGGACAGAGTGTGACAGTGATTTGTGGGAGAAGAGCGAGGAGAGAGAGGTTGAATGAGGACTGAGGTGTCAGGGGGCAAGGGAGGGGCAGCCGAGAACCTTTCCTGGCGGGGTGGGAGGCAGCATCATGTGTGATCCAGCGCTCCAAGCCTCCAGACTTCCATCAGACTTCACATACAAAATACAGACTAAAGGATAAAAATCATTACAAATTTCAATATGGCGATGGAAGACCATTAAGCCCCAGGTGTGGGTCCCCTTCTGCGCATGGGCCGTGTGCAGTGGTCTGACATCCATAAAGCTGGCCCTGGTTTGGCTTTTTGTATATCAAGGCTTTAAGCCTTCGAAGGGCTGTGCTTCAGAGGGCTGTCCCTAGTGTTCAAGGATACGATGGTGACCTGTGCTCACTTGGCCGTAACCTTCTCCACAGTTGTTTTCTCAACTTCACTAGAAGATTAAAGAAGAGAGAAAAGAGGGAGACTGTGCCTGCAGTAAGCTCTGTCTCTTTCTAGGTGAATCTCATTTGCCTTGAGAGTGACTTCCTCTCTTATGCTAGTTGGGACATTTCTAGTGGAGAC